GTCAAAAATTTGATCAACGTTAAATTGAAAATTTTGAATGCAGATTTTTAGAGTATCCAATCACGATTCTTTAGAGGTATGCCACCCTGTAATCGGTTTGAATTTGGTAAAATTATGGACTCTCGAAGTCCAATTTAAAGTCACTCTTTTACAAGACATCGGAAAATTAGAAATACCTAACATGAAAATGGGTCAAAAATTTGATCAACGTTAAATTGAAAATTTTGAATGCAGATTTTTAGAGTATCCAATCACGATTCTTTAGAGGTATGCCACTTTGGAATCGGTTTGAATTTGGTGAAGTTATGGACTCTCGAAGTCCAATTTAAGTCACTCTTTTACAAGACATCGGAAAATTAGAAATACCTAACATGAAAATAGGTCAAAAATTTGATCAACGTTAAATTGAAAATTTTGAATGCAGATTTTTAGAGTATCCAATCACGATTCTTTAGAGGTATGCCACCCTGTAATCGGTTTGAATTTGGTAAAATTATGGACTCTCGAAGTCCAATTTAAAGTCACTCTGTTACAAGACATCGGAAAAATGGAAATAACTAACATGAAAATGGGTCAAAAATTTGATCAACGTTAAATTGAAAATTTTGAATGCAGATTTTTAGAGAATCGAATCACAATTCTTTAGAGGTATGCCACTTTGGAATCGGTTTGAATTTGGATAAGTTATGGACTCTCGAAGTCCAATTTAAGTCACTCTTTTACAAGAAATCGGAAAATTGGAAATAACTAACATGAAAATTGGTCAAAAATTTGATCAACTTTAAATTGAAAATTTTGAATGCAGATTTTTAGAGTATCCAATCACGATTCTTTAGAGGTATACCACTTTGGAATCGGTTTGAATTTGGTGAAGTTATGGACTCTCGAAGTCCAATTTAAGTCACTCTTTTACAAGACATCGGAAAATTAGAAATAACTAACATGAAAATGGGTCAAAAATTTGATCAACGTTAAATTGAAAATTTTGAATGCAGATTTTTAGAGAATCGAATCACAATTCTTTAGAGGTATGCCACTTTGGAATCGGTTTGAATTTGGTAAAGTTATGGACTCTCGAAGTCCAATTTTAAGTCACTCTTTTACAAGACATCGGAAAATTAGAAATACCTAACATGAAAATGGGTCAAAAATTTGATCAACTTTAAATTGAAAATTTTGAATGCAGATTTTTAGAGTATCCAATCACGATTCTTTAGAGGTATACCACTTTGGAATCGGTTTGAATTTGGTGAAGTTATGGACTCTCGAAGTCCAATTTAAGTCACTCTTTTACAAGACATCGGAAAATTAGAAATAACTAACATGAAAATGGGTCAAAAATTTGATCAACGTTAAATTGAAAATTTTGAATGCAGATTTTTAGAGAATCGAATCACAATTCTTTAGAGGTATGCCACTTTGGAATCGGTTTGAATTTGGTAAAGTTATGGACTCTCGAAGTCCAATTTAAGTCACTCTTTTACAAGACATCGGAAAATTAGAAATAACTAACATGAAAATGGGTCAAAAATTTGATCAACGTTAAATTGAAAATTTTGAATGCAGATTTTTAGAGAATCGAATCACAATTCTTTAGAGGTATGCCACTTTGGAATCGGTTTGAATTTGGATAAGTTATGGACTCTCGAAGTCCAATTTAAGTCACTCTTTTACAAGACATCGGAAAATTAGAAATACCTAACATGAAAATGGGTCAAAAATTTGATCAACGTTAAATTGAAAATTTTGAATGCAGATTTTTAGAGTATCCAATCACGATTCTTTAGAGGTATGCCACTTTGGAATCGGTTTGAATTTGGTAAAGTTATGGACTCTCGAAGTCCAATTTTAAATCACTCTTTTACAAGACATCGGAAAATTGGAAATAACTAACATGAAAATGGGTCAAAAATTTGATAAACGTTATATTGAAAATTTTGAATGCAGATTTTTAGAGCATCCAATCACGATTCTTTAGAGGTATACCACCTTGGAATCGGTTTGAATTTGGTGAAGTTATGGACTCTCGAAGTCCAATTTAAGTCACTCTTTTACAAGACATCGGAAAATTAGAAATACCTAACATGAAAATGGGTCAAAAATTTGATCAACGTTAAATTGAAAATTTTGAATGCAGATTTTTATAGTATCCAATCACGATTCTTTAGAGGTATGCCACTTTGGAATCGGTTTGAATTTGGTGAAGTTATGGGCTCTCGAAGTCCAATTTAAGTCACTCTTTTACAAGACATCGGAAAATTAGAAATACCTAACATGAAAATAGGTCAAAAATTTGATCAACGTTAAATTGAAAATTTTGAATGCAGATTTTTAGAGAATCGAATCACAATTCTTTAGAGGTATGCCACTTTGGAATCGGTTTGAATTTGGTAAAGTTATGGACTCTCGAAGTCCAATTTTAAGTCACTCTTTTACAAGACATCGGAAAATTAGAAATACCTAACATGAAAATGGGTCAAAAATTTGATCAACGTTAAATTGAAAATTTTGAATGCAGATTTTTAGAGAATCGAATCACAATTCTTTAGAGGTATGCCACTTTGGAATCGGTTTGAATTTGGTAAAGTTATGGACTCTCGAAGTCCAATTTTAAGTCACTCTTTTACAAGACATCGGAAAATTAGAAATACCTAACATGAAAATGGGTCAAAAATTTGATCAACGTTATATTGAAAATTTTGAATGCAGCTTTTTAGAGAATCGAATCACAATTCTTTAGAGGTATGCCACTTTGGAATCGGTTTGAATTTGGTAAAGTTATGGACTCTCGAAGTCCAATTTTAAGTCACTTTTTTACAAGACATCGGAAAATTAGAAATACCTAACATGAAAATGGGTCAAAAATTTGATCAACTTTAAATTGAAAATTTTGAATGCAGATTTTTAGAGTATCCAATCACAATTCTTTAGAGGTATGGCACTTTGGAATCGGTTTGAATTTGGTGAAGTTATGGACTCTCGAAGTCCAATTTAAGTCACTCTTTTACAAGACATCGGAAAATTAGAAATAACTAACATGAAAATTGGTCAAAAATTTGATCAACTTTAAATTGAAAATTTTGAATGCAGATTTTTAGAGTATCCAATCACGATTCTTTAGAGGTATACCACTTTGGAATCGGTTTGAATTTGGTGAAGTAATGGACTCTCGAATTCCAATTTAAGTCACTCTTTTACAAGACATCGGAAAATTAGAAATACCTAACATGAAAATAGGTCAAAAATTTGATCAACGTTAAATTGAAAATTTTGAATGCAGATTTTTAGAGTATCCAATCACGATTCTTTAGAGGTATGCCACTTTGTAATCGGTTTGAATTTGGTAAAATTATGGACTCTCGAAGTCCAATTTAAAGTCACTCTGTTACAAGACATCGGAAAATTGGAAATAACTAACATGAAAATTGGTCAAAAATTTGATCAACTTTAAATTGAAAATTTTGAATGCAGATTTTTAGAGTATCCAATCACAATTCTTTAGAGGTATGCCACTTTGGAATCGGCTAGTTAGTTAAATTACATTTCAAAATGTTTTAACGTTTGAAACAAAAATGACTAATGCTCTTTTTTTGGCACATATTTTAAAAATTGTGTAATTAATTGTGTTAATTAACTTAAACATAACTCAAAAAAGGTTATTATGAATTTAAATTGCTCACCGCTTTTCCCGGTATGCCAAGCGCAATTCATTAAGTTTTATTAAAATATTCATAGTTGATAGTCTGTGAAAATGAAAGTTTAAAGCATTCCGCAATTGCTCTATATATTCTGCGTTTTTATGTTCCCTTTTGCGTGGATTTTTTCCGTACTCGTTTTGATGCGCCCCAAAAGCCATTCCCCAATCCCCGATCCCCAGCAACTGTCCGCTGCCAGCCGTGCACCCGTTTAATAAATTGCCCTCAATTGTTTCCTCTTTTTCGGTTATGTGCATCACTGCACCGCACCGCCAACAAACCACCCGCCGCACCACCGAACCACCGCACCACCGACCCACTGGGCTTTCGGCAAATTATTTCCGCTTATTGTAAATGATTTGCGCGGCAGCGCGCTTAAAGCCAAAAGTTTATTTACCCGCGCTGTTAAAATATTTCGAACGCCTTTGATTGCGAGTAGCTGCAATCTCGGCAATTTTATTTGCGCTTTAAGCAAATTCCGGCAAGGCAAAAGTTGCCACAAAGTTATTTCATTAGCTGCAGCCGTGATGAGGATGAGGTGGAGGATGAGGCTCCTTTAAGGAGGATTTTATTAAACTTCAATGCTTGTTAGTTGCTTGTTGCTGGCAAGTTTTTTCCTTGTTGATATTGTTTCTTGCACCTTTTGCAGTGAAATCAGAGCGAAAGCCATTTAGGGGGTAACTTTTTTAATTTCCTCGCCGTTGTCTCTGTGCATTCATTCTGCATATCCACGCGGCGTATACGTAATGCCACTGTCAGCGTTCAGTTCAAATGTCAAGCGAACCCAACGAGTGTCCTCGACAACTCAATGTGCATTTACTAAAACGCATTTAGCCTTTTTCCACCCAACCGCCAAAGAGGAGGAAAGGAATGGCCAAAATAACTTTTAATTAAGACACTTGCAGGTCCGGAGAACCGACATATTAATTTCCAACTGCCGCAAACAAAACTGGCGAATGAATATGCCCAGATGGACAGCAGCAAAAGCAGCAACAATGATGGCAAAACTATATGCAAAGTGTGTCAAACTTGCAAAACAAATTGAAACTCAAATAAATGTCTGTGCAGTGAGATGTCCGTTCGGAGACTGAGACAAATGCAGCGAAGAGTGATGGGGCCAGTCGTGCTAATTGTTAGTTTTAAATATTGAAAATTTCTCAGATAAAGTTGTCTTACCTTCGGCCAGTCGAAGCAATTTGTTGCCGTCTGGCCAAATGCGAAAACAAAAGAGCTAACATTGCAAAAATGAAAAACCGAAACTTTAAGCTGGCAGCAATTGGAATTGCTTAAGAGTAAACTTTTGAGTTAATTGATTTTTGTTTGATTTCATTTTGTATAAATAAAAATGTATATAAAATATATGAAGTACAACAAAACAAGTTGTCTTTCCGAATTTCCAACTAGGAAATAATACAAAATAAAGGGAAATACGCTTTAAAGATGACAGATGACTACATGATATATACTACATAAATATATATAAAATTCTGGCTTAACCGAATATCCGATCCGCAATTGGATAACAAACACTGCGACGATTTATGTCCCTGGAATCGTTCTCGTCCTTGTTGCGCAGGAACATCTGGTAGTCCATCAGCTTTTTGGAGTCCAAAGGACCCCAATCGGAGTGCGGCTTAATTGAATTGCTAATGCGGCTCTTCAGCGTGCCCTTTGGCTGCTTGCAGTTGGCATAAAAGGCCCAGTAGAACAGCTGGCCGATAATGAAGCCCGAAACACACCAGCCGAAAACTGAAAGGGTAACGTATTGAAAGTAATCTTTAATAAACTTGCTATATTTCTTACTTCTGTAGGACAGCGGGAACTCCTGTCCATTGTAGCTGAGTGGACGCATGGTGAGCAAACTGTACACCAGGATGACAACCATCACCAGCGGAGTGACGATGGACCAGCATATCCTGTAGTAGTTGGAAGTCTTGATGTTCAGCATGTACTCGGCATCCTGGCAGAGGCGCTTGGTGCCGTAGATCCAGCCCACGGCAATCAGCTCGAAGATGGCCGACACCAAGGACACGAAGGTCACGCCGTGAAAGTCCATCAGCGTGATGATATGCTGACCCCCGGGCGTGATGTAGATCAGACCCACAAGAAATCCAATCAACGAGAGGCACACCACGATGATCCACAGTTTGACATTCACGAACTGATCCTTCAGCACGGTCATAATGCAGCTGACCATGCCCACATTGCTGCCCACGCCCAGCATGAACAGCATGACGAAGAAGAGTAGCGAGAAGACCTGCGGCAACATCTTGAACTTGGCAATGGCGTCCGGATAGGAGATGAAGGCCAGTCCAGGACCCGCCTTCACCACACTGGCAATGTCCTTGGTGCCCGACTCGTGGGCCAAGTTGCCCAGGATTCCAAAGATAATCACACCCGAGAGCAGCGAGGTGAATGTGTCCAGAGTGGTCACGATGTTGGCGTCCCTATAGACATTGTGCCCAAATCGGTTGTACGAGGAGTACATGATGATCACGCCAAAGCAAACGGCCAGGGAGAAGAACACCTGGGTCACGGCATTGTACCATACCTCTGGCTCCAAAAGCTTACCCCACTGTGGAGTGAGGAAGTACATCACACCCTCATAAGCACCCGGCAAAGTCAGGGCTCGCACGAGCAGGATGAACATTACCACGTATGGGAACAGGGCCAGGACATAGGCCGCCTTGCCGGAACTCTTCACGCCCCTGATGATGATCAGCGTCACTGTCAGCCAGGATAGTCCCAGCATCAGGGCCAAGCTGCCACTGGGATAGCCTATGCCCTGGTCCAGCGAGTCCGTCTCATTCAGCACGATGCGTTGCAGGTAGAGCTGCGTAGAGGAACTGAAGTTTCGGGATAACTGACTCGGAACAGGCTGACCTCCGGATGCACTCACGCACCCATCACCCCACTCCGGACGGCAGTAGCTCCAGGGCAACTCCGAAGCGAAGGAGTCGAAGAAGTATCGCAATGTTAAGGCCATCACCGAGGCATAGTATGTGGCCAAAACTCCGAGGGCCAATAGCTGGGCATAGCCAACGCCTGGGAAATACAAAGCAATATATAAAAGGCATCTTATTAATAATTGTATAATGTAATGGCAACACATTATTTTAGTTTTTTATTTTCTTCGAAAATATTACATAATACAATTTTGCATTTCCAACACATTAAAGTAATAACCATTTTGGATGCCTAAGGTGTCATTGTCAACACTTTAAGAAACACTCATAAGAAACTGTTTTTGTTCGATTTTAAGTTAAGCTAATCAGAATCAGACATTTGTCAGCAAGCTTCAACATTTTGTTAGGGTTTGATTTCCGTTTCGTTTAATATGCGTACTAGTTTGCCTAGATACGGACTGTACTGTGTTAAAAAAGACTGACTAAAGTAATAATATCCTTTGAAAAGTCATAATAATAAATTAAGGTTTCCAAATATATAATTTAAAGTCTAGTATACACATGTCGTTTTAACAATTTAATGGCCTTACGTAAATATCAAAATAAATTTAGTTGAAAAAGGTTTTTGTTATCATCTTACCTCTCATGAGGGGGGCAAAGTCAAAGACCTGCACGATGCCACGACTGGAGAACTGTCCCAGCAGCATCTCCATGTAGTAAATCGGCTTTCCTACCACGAACAGGACGATAAGGTAGGGAATTAGGAAGGCACCTCCCCCGTTTTCCAGGGCCGTGAATGGGAACCGCCACACGTTGCCTAATCCCACGCTCAGGGCGATGCAGGACATTAGGAACTCCAGCGAACTGCCCCAGTTGTCGCGGGACTTCTGATCCGGGGCAGGTTCAGACGATTCCAATGCCATGGGCAGAAAGGATGGCTTTAGCAGCGCCTCGCCACTGCTGCCACACTGGAAAAAAAATATTGAATAAGCATTTAATGATAAATATCAATATTAAACTAAAAGGGTTCATGAATAAAATCACTAAAAATAATAAATGAAATCACGATTCGATTGACTAAGATCTTTAAACATACAAATTGTATAGTACAATTTCCTGTCTATTTATTTATTTAACAAACTCATTCTTAAATGCATTTCCTTGCTTGTATAAATCTTCAATTAGTCACATCTTTATTTCCACCGAAGTCTGGATGGGTTCATCAACCGCATCAATTAAAGTTTTTCTTTTAATGAAAATGGTATGAAATATATTGTATATGACACTGTTGACTTCATTGTTATACCCGTTACTCGTAGAGTAAAAGGGTATATTATATTCGTGAAAAAGTATGTAACAGCTAGAAGGAAGCGTTTCCGACCCTATAAAGTATATATATTCTTGATCAGGATCACTAGCCGAGTCGATCTAGCCATGTCCGTCTGTCCGTCTGTCTGTCTGTCTGTCCGTATGAACGCTGAGATCTCGGAAACTATAAAAGCTAGAAGATTGGCATTTTGCATGTAGATTTTAGAAGTTCCTACGCAGCGCAAGTTTGTTTCAAAATGGTGCCACGCCCCCTTTAACGCCCACAATCGCTTATATACGATTTTAAAAATTTAAATATTTCGGAAAAGTAAAAATGCAGTTTTATTGTGTTTATCGTTTTATCGAAATGTAGAAGAAATTTTTCAAATCGGACCATTCGTTAAAAAGTTATGCGTGATCAAAGTTTCTATCTCCATCTCCCTCGCACTCCCTTTACCTGAGTAACGGGTATCTGATAGTCGGGGCACCCGACTATAGCGTTCTCTCTTGTTTTTATTATTAGTTTAGTGTAGTCCTCGCTCATTGAATTCTTTAGAAACTTTAGAGATTTGCTATGGTTTCACTTACCCTGCTGGTCTCCAGTTTCGGGAGACTGCCGTTCGCTTGGGTCTCCGTTTTCAAATCTTTCATCGTAATGCGTTGCTGGAAAGAAGATAAGTACGGCAAAAAAAATTAGAGACAAGAGGCAGGCATTCCCAGACGCTCCTCGAATTCGAATTCAAATTGGCGCCGGCAACGCTCTGAATTATTGAAACCTAAAACGCTGAATTGCAGGACTGTGGCACGAGCCGATTCGTTTGCAGTACAGTAGAAATTCCTTAAATTAAATTGTCAACTGAAACTATACTACTATGGTATTTAGAGTTGGGCTATGCATTTCATTTGTATTTTTAACCCATATTGACACCAAATCGTAACTGATTCACGACTTCAGTTACAAAAAGTTAAAACTGGCGAAGTTTCCCTGTATATCGCCCAGTTTTCCAGCTGATGCAATCACATATTAAGATTTCAGCAAACCGTATATTAATTTTTATCCAGCGGCAATTGATGGGGCCAATTGTGCGCCAAGGCACTAACCTTTTAAAACAGAATTTTAATATTTCAATGCTAATACCTTTCAAGTATTTCTTGACTTGGATGAGATAGACGTGATTTTGCAGAATGTTATCAATCGGCACCATGGACACAAAAGCACAATTAATAACCGGTAAGCAAGGAAAACTAAAACAAACACTTTAAAATCAAACAAACAAAGTTCTTCGAAACTTTTCAATTTTTCACTGTTTGCACGAAATAAAATTACAAAAAGCAAACACCGCCGATCGAGAACCGTTCTATACACATTTCCCTTTGAATTGGTGTTTATCTAGGTTTGTTTATTCCACTTTCAATCGGTTGTCTGCTGCCTTTCCTTGGACACAAGCTTATGAAGTAAATCAGAGAGCGGAGCCCGCCTTTTATAGAACCTCTCCACTCAAAACTCGGGTTTCGCTCAAGAGCGACTTATTGGAGGGTCTTCAATCAGACAGTCAATTTAGCTGATTGAAGTCCGAATCGGAGTTAGGCGGTATTGATTTATTGATTAGTCGTTCTGAATGGTTGATTAAACTTAATTTTGGCAATGTTTGTTTTGAAGGGAAATTTTGATTGAGATATTGGTTACTGGAAATTCACCTACAAGCTAAGTTCAAGGCCAGCAAATAAAACTTGTTGTCAAATTGGAAGTAATTGATTAAAAATGAAATAATTTATTGAATTCTTAATACATTTATGTTTGTTTTTGGATTTGGTTATTATTTGGATGGTTTTAAGTTACAAAATTTGTTGCCCTCTTTTAGGCACTTCTCTTTTATATTCATCAACAACTAAAAGATGATTGCTACCACAGCATTTGATGACAGTCAAGTTATATATCACTCAGCTTTGTGTAGGCCTTCCAATCTAATTTTAAACGTTTAAAAAACTTACAACTGATGTAATCCGTATTAATTTATTTACTCTAATACAGACACTATTCTGTTTCGGAGCTTATCAAATGCTATCAAGTTATAGCCTTTTATTTATGCGCATCTGTTGCTGTGTACTTACCTTAGGTTAAATATAACCCAAACAAAAAGATTTATGGAGATAAGAGAACAAACGAGAAGTTTTGCCAGCGCTTATCGAAGATCAAGTCGCAATGATAACCTTGCAAACAATGACGGGCTTCCCGCTATCAATCTGGCACGACTTTCTTGCAGCGTCTATCGCAAATGGAAGCACTTAGTTCATCCAAAATATTGTGCCCATAAAACTATATTGCCCAAATTTCCCATATCTCAAGAGCATTCAATTGGGGCTCATATCAATATTTACTTTTATGAGTGTTATTAGCACCTATTATTTGTTCTGATTTCTTAGTCAGAGACTCCAAAGAAAATGTAACCTTAGATATCTTAACGTGAGATTTTTGTGACTCTGTTTATAGTTCATGTTTTCTATGCTTTTCTAAATAAACTTCCTCAGAACGCATTTTTAAGACACCTTATAAAATAGATAAAATCATTTAGACAGCTGAAAATAGTATAAATCAAATAAAATGTATGTCTGGTTGATAAGATTATAAAATATGTGTATGTGCAACACTTAATCAAACAATGTGGGACTTTTTTACATTATTTTTTCTGTGTGCACTTAATGAGAGTAGGAGTTAGGTAAGTCAATGACCCAAAACCGCTGTGACACCACTCAGTGGTTTTGATAAACGCACCGCCCGACTAGGCCTAACCACTTTTTTTTTACATAATTCGCAACGCTTTATTTGATGCCACACACACGCTCTTTAATTGGAGATTTGTCGTTGGCAAAAGTCGCGGATTTCCGCTAATAGTTCATGTCAACGAGTCATCAGGCATATAGCCAGCTAATGTAAATACAACCCTCGAAATATGGGAATCCGAATCTCAGTCTGAGCAATACAGCTGGCACATAAAGCGAAAAGGCTGTAGAATATGCCAAAAAGTTGTCTGTCACTCCTAGAGAATATTTTAGCATCTTGATGAGGCCGAAACGAGATGGAAAGTTTGGCATAAGCGGGAGTCAAAACAAAAACAAACACTCGCCTGATATACTTTAATATCAGTTTGTTGCTGATATATCCATTCGAAGGCATCTAAATGTATAATTGGCCCCGGATTATGTTGATTGTCTGGCAGCAAGATACGTCAACGAACCAATCTAACAGTTAATAGATTCTAAATGCTAGTTTAAATATTAACAAATACTGGAGGTGTTACCACATACAAATGTTTCTTCCTGGTACTTCATAACAATGCTCTCTTTTGCATATGCAATTATCTATCTGTTGAACAATGTTCCCCCACCTTGAGGGAAATTATAGACCCCATCTGCAGTAGAACGCACATTCAATGCCAAACTCATGTGATCGATAAATGATTATTAAAATATCATTGGCAATTATTAATAGTGATTCGACTAATTCACTTTTCGAGTGCCTCAGACTGCTGAGATTTGATAACCGAACGTCCACACCTTCATGATGTGATAAGGCAAGAAGCTAAATAAACAAACTCAAGAACCAACACTTGAATTCAAGTGGAATTTCCCAGCGTATGCTAGGATTTTGAGCCACCCTCGGAAAATCACCCGAGAATCACTGTGCACATATTACTACATCCATGCATGCCGATGCTTTGAAACCTGTCGTCGCCTGTGAAACTAGTTTCATGTGTGTCCACCGTTCCCTGTGGCCTGAAATTCAGGTGAGCCGTGGGGCACCAGCTGCCCGTCTCTGGTGCATAGATTCTGCAAGCAGCTGCGGCAGGGCCAGATCGAAGCAGGTTAAAGATTGGCCCAAGAACCAGGAACTGTGCTAATGCTAATTAATAATTAACATAATTACACACAGATTGCTATGTCGTCAGATAAAATGCATTGCGAATGAGCTGAGGCGAGGCAAAAAAAACTAATATCAACATCAATATTTATAAAAAGATTTGAGTGCAGAGGAAAAAATGCAGACAATTTTAATTGATTACTTAAAAAGGTCTTATTAAATTTAATTTACAACAAATATCTCCAATTATAATGTAAAATAAGTAAGTAAGTACCACAATCTACACTTTTTCATACAAAAACATTGGTTTTTCGTAGTATAATTAATTTACAATATTTGTATTTTTAAGTATATTTGAAAAAACACTTTACTTAATACCCAGAAATAAATACAAAATGTTTTGAGTAGGACATATTTTTATGAGCTCAAACAGAAAAAAGAAACACGATAAGGCATATGTGCCGAATAATTCCACAGAAAATATATGAACATTTGTTTGGGCATTTTGATAAGTTGAAACCAAAATAAGAGTTATCTTTTTTCTCTGTGTGGCCCCTGCTCCTAAGACAAAGAAAGGAAAGGCCCGACCGGACCCGATAGTACGTCGATCGGAGAGGGAAAAAGCGACGCGAGCGGCCCCATAGAGAGTGGTTTGGGATGCGAGCGGGCTGTGGCTGCTCCCGGCACATATGCTGTATAAATTGGTGCGTCCGGAGGCACACCATTCAGTCGCAGAGCGAACCAGAGCAGACCAAGATCATCTCGAGCAGTCATCAGAGGCGTTTGGCCGTCCAAAAATAAACCAAAGTCATCGAAGCTGAGGCAAAGTCTGCAAAAAATAGAACATAAATTTTTTATTTTCTGCGTATCGATTCGGGGACAAGTGGGAACTGCGTAGTTGCCGGGAAATTGTCAGGCCACCACTTCTTTCATGTCTTGCCAAATTCTTCGCAGCGTTCAGGCCAAAGGAGTAAACAGCTGCCGTCGCGTTCGACAAGCGGCAATGTCAGCACTTTAACAAGAAGAAAGACCGAAAAACAAATCCATCGGGCATCGAACAGATAGTAGAAAATACCAAAAAAAAAATAAAAATATTAATAACTCGACGAGTGCAAGTGATTCGCGGAACAACTTTCCGCAACAAACAAAAACAGAAGGACAGAGACTGGGGTGCAAAAATTGATTTCGTTAGCCTTTTGCCACCACCAACTGCATGGGTAAAGTTATGAGAGTGAATTCGTTACCGCCGCCCGCCCACAACTGCCACGCCCACGCCCACTCCAAGCAACAACAGCAGAAACAATTAAAATTAAAGAAAATCGAAATCTATTTTATGTTCAACAATTTGTGCAAGAGAAAAACTTTAACGGAGTATAATTTATTGACACTAAAACAAAACCACGACAGTGAGTGAATTACCCAAGCAAACTGCGAAACAGTTTAAGTGATCGTTAAAGTTTTAACCAACATATACCTGTCAAAAATAAAAAAAATTGTCATATTTCGAAAACACCAATAGATAGAATCGGAATTACTTACAAAAAAAAAACGCTGTTGTGAGGTCGTGTGGGCTGTCAGAAAATCAAGGATAACCAGAAATAGAGGTGAGCGTCAACTATTAATAAAGTGATAAAGATAAATTTGAAAACAACTATATTTAATATTACACTGACTTTTATGGTGCTAGGATGTGAGTTTAGGTAATTACAATTAGGGGGTTCACTAGAGAGAATGTTATAAACTTGAAACAGAAAAATAACCGCAGCTTTTAAGAATAGTAATTCTTACAGCAGTTATATTTAACTATTGCTTTATGTATTTAATATATTATTATTATATATATATATTATTATTCATATATTAGCTTCAATTAAAGCTGCCATTCTTTCCTTTAATAGTTGACATTGTCAATTTAAAAAAATGTAGTTTAATATTATTATTGTTCAATAATAAATTAAATTATTATAATGGCAAAACGCCTTTGGAAGGTTTAAATACAAATATCCTTAACATAATGAGTTATGAAATTTAAATATATACATTATTATATGATATTAAGTATGTAGTAATAACAAACAAAGTACATTTAATATTTAAGAGCTTTCTTTGTTCCCTGATATTAATCAATTAAATAAATCTCTTGCAAATTTTCTCCCATAATTAAGGGAGCCATATTAAACTAATAACACGGTTCATGCCTGCGCACAATAAGAAGATCAATTACGCCTCAATTGACGGTAAAATAAACTGCCTATATGTAGCCGGTTCACACCCACACAATAAAGTAATATGCATTTTAAGTAGACTCACTTTAATAATCATGTTAATTACAAAACGGTTTAATCAGCGTCGAAAAACCGAAACAATGGAATGTATCAGAATGTATCAGGCTGAAGACGTGTTAAATTGGTATTGTGATATTTAGATAACGCAGAGCAGAATGCAAACTATTTCCTCAAATCCCCGAAATAACCTTGACCCCTTTTCGACAAATGATTCACTCAAACCTCCGAAGAGTTGTCAACTGCGGAATGCTTATCAAGTGACTTCCTAATAGTTAACAGGCAATTAATGCCAGCGGCGACTTAATTAATTATCAAATCTCATCTGCTTTTTGTTGCTGTTTGTTTATAAAAACTTTTATTGACCTAGTCTGTGGCGATTTGATTACGAACCGCCGTTTTTCGCAGAATATTTATGCATATTCAAGCGTTAAACTGCCGGTCATCTAACCCGTGGCCATATATTTCGGATTTGGGGTTCCAGGAGAAGGAGAGTAGTTATCTACACCCACATGACCTGCAACTTGTCTCAATTACCACGGATATGTGACAATGTGAATGACACTCGAGCGGCCGGCGTACAAATTAGATGTTTTGTATTTTAAATTTATTCGAGCTTTTATTATGATTTTATTATTCTTTTTGTTAGTGCTCACGTATGGAGCATATAGGTTTTGGTCAATGGCTCAAAGACAGCGCTCGCCAGCCAGACTTGTGATAGAGAAGCCCGGCGACTCGGAGATTCGGAGACCCAGACTCAGTTGCGATTTGGACACGCGACGTTTTGGTTGTAGGAAAGTTTTGGTGCCGTCTCGAAAGCCGTTTACAGATCACCCCCAAAGATACAATTGAACCCAATATAAACCGCTGAGCCGTCAATTTGCTAAAGTGTTCGCTTGCAATAATTCGAAAATGTGGCTGATTGTCAAGTTCAAGCAAAAGAGAAATTGAGTTAACCAAGACTAGTGTTTAAATATTTGCAAGTGTGATATTAGCCAAGTACGAATTAAAGAAAAGTGATAAAATAGTTTAGGAAATACGTGATATTAGACAATTAAGAATCAATGTAAGTGCCAAACTTATTATAATTATACCCGTTACTCGTAGAGTAAAAGGGTATATTGTATTCGTGCAAAAGTATGTAACAGCTAGAAGGAAGCGTTTCCGACCCTATAAAGTATATATATTCTTTATCAGGGTCACTAGCCGAGTCGATATAGCCATGTCCGTCTGTCCGTCTGTCTGTCCGTCTGTCTGTCCGTCTGTCTGTCCGTCTGTCTGTCCGTCCGTATGAACGCTGAGATCTCGGAAACTATAAAAGCTAGAAGATTGGCATTTTGCATGCAGATTCTAGGAGTTCCTACGCAGTGCAAGTTTATTTCAAAAGGTGCCACGCCCCCTTTAACGATCACAATCGCTTATATACGATTTTAAAAATTTAAATATTTCGGAAAAGTAAAAATGCAGTTTTATTGTGTTTATCAATACCTATCGAAATGTAGAAGAAATTTTTCAAATCGGACCATTCGTTAAAAAGTTATGCGTGATCAAAGTTTCTATCTCCATCTCCCTCGCACTCCCTACACCTGAGTAACGGGTATCTGATAGTCGGGGCACCCGACTATAGCGTTCTCTCTTGTTTTGTTCTATTTTCGTTTATAAGAAATATACGTTTATTTATTGGCTTTCAAGATGTCAAATTATGATATTTCCCAACTTCGCAGCAAATAAATTTTCAATCGAAACTCGCAGTACAATCTTTCGCAGAAAGTCTTTGTTATTTGAGTGTTCCGATTACGAGTAGGTTTGTGAACCCATTTCGGGGTTTACACTCAGTTTTGATTTCAATTTCGCTACCCAGATAAGCCTTCGAGTTACAATTCACGCTCGTTTGTCTTTCGCTGTGATTGAATTTGTTTGTAAACAAATAGCCGCCGTTCAGGGCTCGCACTCTATAGGCAGTGACACAAATCGCGAGTCTCAGTGCAATTGAATTGGAATTGAAACTCATTTTCATTTTCATATTTTTATTTTGCCACTGCACCGTGGCCGCGCAGCTCAATTAATCAGAGATCTTTGACGCTTCTTCGACGTGCCGCACCAGATGTTTCTAGTTTAATCGGTTCAATGTCTCTGGGCTTTGGCTTTGGGTGCGATGGGAAACAGCACGACCGCTGTTTGGCAATTAAAAATTGCGATAGCGAAATTAAGCCCAGATGTGACCTAATAGAATTTGTGAGCTGCACCCGAGTAGTGGAAAGTTTTGGAGGGAAATCGGCAACATCTTAAGATTTTTAGAATCTCGATTAAGAGATTTAAAAGAATGTGCTGATTTCTATCTTAAATTAATCGGCGGATTAAAAAAAGACTAAATAAACTAAATATTTGAAGCCTAATATATTTTTAGAACTAAAACCCCTTAATATTCAAGATGTAGGTAGGAAATATAAATGCTTCATTTCAAAAATAAAGCCCCTTAATATTCAAGATTTACGTAGGAAAGAAAAATGCTTTAATAAAAATGACTTAATCCATTCTGTTGTCTCTTCCCGCAGTATTAGTAAATCCTTAAAGTCATAATAATAATATCGATATGGGAAAGTGTTATTAAAATATATATTATTCCAAGCATATTTTTAAGCACCCAGACTTAAGAAATAATTTCCAAATAAATTGTGTTTTCTATTTTTAACTAAACCATCTTCAAATGTTCCTCCTCCGCAGTATCAGTAAGTCCGGATCAAAATGGTTGGAGTTGCTGCCGATGCCTCGCAGTCGAATCAGCTGTCGTCGGTGAAGAACCCGATGATCAAGTACATGCTGAAGACCCGGGAGAACCATGCCAGGGAGCAGGATCAGGACTACTCGCATGTCTTCCGCCGGAAGACGAGGTTCGAGATGTTCCGTTTGTCCGCCATCGCCATGGCCATTGAGTTTGCCTACGCGGCGGAGACGAGCTTCGTGTCCCCGATCCTGCTGCAAATCGGCGTGGATCACAAGCACATGTCCATGACCTGGGGCCTCTCGCCTCTGATTGGCTTCTTCGTGTCCCCGCTGCTGGGAAGTATTAGCGATCGCTGCAAACTTCGCTGGGGTCGCCGACGTCCAATTATCTCGATCTTATCCTTCGGCATAATGTGTGGCCTGATCTTGGTGCCGTATGGCAAGGATCTGGGTCTGCTCCTTGGAGATGAGGGTTACGATTACGCGGCGACCGCCTTGAATTTCACGTCTTCCTTGGAGGGATCAGTGGCGGCTTTGACTTCGAGTGAGAGTTCTTCGGGACCTTCCGCCTCCAACTTCAAGTTTGCCGTGATCCTAACGATACTGGGAATGGTGCTGCTGGACTTCGATGCGGATACCTGTCAGACACCTGCTCGCACCTATTTGCTGGATATGTGTGTGCCAGAGGAGCAACCAAAGGCGATGACCATGTTTGCGCTCTTCGCAGGATTTGGTGGAACCATTGGATATGCCATCGGAGGTGTGGACTGGGAAAGAACTCAGATTGGGAGCTTTATGGGCGGAAATATACCCACAGTATTTACACTGGTCACCATTATATTTGCGGTGTGCTATCTGATTACGGTGACCACTTTCCGGGAGATTCCACTGCCTCTAATCGAGCAGGATGAGCTGTTGAGACCGCTTTCGGAGCAGGCCATCAAGAAGGAACTGAAAAAGAAGAACAATACCATTTACTATATCCAGGAGACCACTCAATTGGAGCTGCAAATGGCCAGCGATGATCCCAAGAGGGAGGAGGCATTGCAGGTCAGCTACCAGAATGGTTACTCGCCCGCTTTGGAGAAGCAGAACAAGTCGCAGGATGTGGAGACCCAGTCCGATTACGACGCTCCCGTCTCCCTGAAAGCCTATCTCAAGAGCATCTTCATCATGCCCTACTCGATGCGAATGCTGGCCCTCACCAATCTCTTCTGCTGGATGGGCCACGTCACCTACTGCCTGTACTTCACCGACTTCGTGGGCGAGGCAGTGTTCCACGGAGATCCGACAGCTCCTCCCGATTCGGAGGCCGCTCTCAACTACGAGGCTGGAGTCCGATTCGGCTGCTGGGGAATGTCCATATACGCGTTTTCCTGCTCCATTTACTCGCTGTCCGTGACCAAGTTGATGAAGTGGTTCGGGTGAGTCATTAGTCTGAAAATTATACACACAAAATAATTCACTGTAATCAGTAAAGTTTAATTGTTATCTTAATTTATTACTATCAATTTTCAAATCGGAGTTTTATTAGCTCTATTTTAGACAGACAATGATAAGAATCCATAGCTTATTGGCATGATAAATTAACTTAATAGATTAAGATTATCAATGGAAAAATTTAATTTTGAATTATCATCACGATTTCTGCAAGTAATACATATTAGTTATGGAAAAGTAGAGAATGACGGAAAGTTTTAATCGTACTTTGGCTTGTCACTAATTTCCTTTCAGAACAAAGGCTGTCTACATTAGTGGCATGATCTACTATGGTATTGGAATGCTGGTCCTGGGTTTGTGGCCCACCAAATGGGGAGTCTTGGTATTCAGCACATCTGCCGGTATTCTCTATGGAACAATCTTTACTGTGCCTTTTATACTGGTGGCTAGATATCATGCCAAAAATTGTGTAAGTACAAATTTTCGAAATATTTAAGCAACAACCTCACATTATTTTGTTTATTTTTTAGTTCTGTATTAAAAATGGCGAGACTGTGCCGCTGAAACAGGCTCGAGGATTGGGAACTGACGTGGCCATTATTAGCAGCATGGTGTTCATAGCCCAGCTGATTGTGTCCCTTTCCGTGGGTCCTCTTGTGTCCTGGATGGATACGACCTGTGCCGTGTTGTATGCCTCCACGTTCTTGTCCTTTTTGGCCGCCATTGCAGCAATGTTTGTGTTATATGTCTAGAAATTTACGGAGATTTATACACACACACATCTTACATGAATTTTACATAGCCTAAGTGTAGCTAATTGAATATCTTTGCCTACTTTCTGGCAGTATCTGCTGGTGCACTCACAATGTTGTGGCATACTTTGAGGATGAAGCGTATATTGTACATTTAATCATTTAAAACATTTAATTTTTTTTGTAAACTTCAAGTGAATAAAATATATATGAATTTTAAATATTAAAGTATATATTTTTCTTAATTATAATACACAAGGTGACTCTTTGTTGGGCAAAGCAATATAATTTATTTTTTCTCTCAGCAAAACGATGAGCTGAAGGGCGGATATTAGTTTTTACGCTCGTGCGTGGCATTCAAATGCAACTTTTAATTTCCTCAAGTGCAATTTTTTCCCAGATGCTGCCAATTTCCTTAGCAGCTGCACATGCCAAACCCCGTCGCCCACCGCCCACAGCCCTCCTTTGGACCTCTTGTAAGTGTCAGAGACACATTTCCGTTGTCGCCTGAGTGATAAATAGCATTTAATAATTTTCCGTGCGCACAGTTCAAATTTCAGTAGAAATAAAGCAATTAAAGCCTCTTTTCTTGGCTGCGCACATTTCGTATTCTGGAGGTTGAATGAAAAGGCCATGAAAATATAAACAATTATTGGGGAATAAGTAAAGAGTGTGTGGCTCATCGCCTGCCAAATAGCATAAGTTATGGGCGGATCGTAAAGGCAGCTGTCCTATTAAAAATAAAAGGCGAAAATAAGGCGGAACACACATGCACAAACATTCGCAATAGAAAAGACATGAAAAGTGCAAATGGGCGACAAAGAGCGAAGTTCTCATCAAATTGAAAATAAACTCCGCACGACAAGTTGAGAGCCGCACTAGCGTAAGTATCGGCTTTAAAAACTTTGACAATCAGCAGCGTCTTCAAATGGCAAATCGGGAGTCACAACACGGCGTATGCGTAATGTGAGATCCAGTAAGCACGACTCGTCCCAGTTCCCATCCTTCAGCACCGCACCCCCTCCACCCGCACTTAAAAGCAAACAAATTGAGTTTATCGGCGGCTACAAATCTACAGGAAGCACACAATCATCCATCATAAGACCCAACCCAGGGCCATCCTTACCCAGCAGCCAAGCTCGTCCTTTTCCCAGCGAGCACTAAAAATATTTACATTTGTCTTGAGCTCATTTCGAAATCCGAGCGAGCAATCGCTAGGGGTTTGCCTGCAAATCAACAAGCCACGTTAGTGACTTCGTCCCGTTTCGTTTTGTGCGGCTGTATGTAATAAGCCAAAATGCAAAAGCCGTCGCAAATCAACAAAGGTAAATTCATTTCAGATTTGATTTGGGGGCCCTGAAAAAGGGAAACACGTGCACCATTTATTCACCAGTTCCAATCCCCCAAAATCTCCGGCTCCTTGACGCTGACGATCTGAGACGTAAGACCGCCATCGCCATCTCATGCGTGCCGGAAGTGCAGATCCCCTCTCCCCCCAGGAAACACTTCACCCGAATCCCCTCCACAAGTGCCAGCCGAAAGCATATGCATTAGCATTGTTTACCTGCGGACGAGGATTGCCGATGAAATGGGATGCTGTGCCGCTGACAAGTGTGCAGGATATTGCTGCCGCACCAACCCAGCTTAACACTCAGAGAAATCATCGTCATTAGATATTTAAAGCTTTGAAGTTATCAATTAAAATTAATTCATTAAAAAATTATTATAATATAGTAAAAACAATTTTTATACGTATCAATTAGGTGAAATTCAATAAGGTAAAGTATTATAATATGATCACACTCTTTGTGTTTTCATACAGTTACTCGAAGAGTAAAAGTAATTAGTTTTCGAGCCCATTTAGTTTGTAAATTGGTTATTTTGTGGTATATGTATATTTGGAACAATTAGCTCAGAACTTATTAAGAAACTGAAGTCAAACATAATCAGTGACTTTATTGCGCTCAAATGACTTTTTCACCGCCACTATTTGTATTGGTACCCCATCACATTTATTTTAAAATTTGGTTAACAGAATAATAGGCATCTTATAGTCGGGACTGAACTGTAACGTTGCTTCTTGCTTTGAACTTTTTTCAAAGAATTTATGTTGCTATGCTTAATTTTTATAATAATAAATTATTTAAATTTAAAATATACTCTCAAATTTCTAAAAGAAGGTTTTTCTGAGTGCGAGTGCATCTGTTGCCGTGACTTTTGTGCCATTGATAGAGCTAGACCCCAACATTTGGCGGATTCTGTCCGGGAAGTTGTCGAGATATTTATTGCTTTGCTCACACAGCGGTGGATCAGTAGTTCACTAACCTTCGAATGGGCAGCTATCACTATTTATTGGGATCGGAGAAGCGTTAAGACCGCTTCCGTGGGGCTTCAGTCATCGCGCTTGACACCTTTTGCTCCCGACGCTTTCAATCATAATTTATATGCAAATTATTTCGGTATAATTTTTTTCCCACCAGAGACGCTTAACTTTTAACTCTTTTGGCGGTGCCCTCCATTCCTTGCTGTTGCTGCTGCCGGAAGCGTGCCGCCATTTTATAAACATTTCACTGAAATAAAAATGGCAGTCCAAGCAGAAGGAGATGCTGGCTGGTACAAAAAATGTGAGAGGAGGGTGAAAAAATATAAATGGTTTAAGGGTTTCCGCCAGTTCCCCCGAAGTGATGGCATGTCAAGCCGGGCGACATGTGCAATAAAAGGGAAATAATATGCAAATGCAATTATAAGCAACTGGCTGCGATATGAGCAAGACGTCCGCATCCGCGTCCGCATCCGCATCGCCGTCAAGTGAAGCTGACGAGGATCTGGAGCTGGAGCGACATCGCCTGCCAAGCGCAAAAAAACCGCATAAAGTTTTGCATTTTTTGTTTGGCGCACTTTTAGCTAACTTAATTTTCATAGCATAAACAAGCGGTATGAAAACTGCTCGAGAGTAATTTGATTGGAATTTGAATATATATGAATTTGCATTGTATCGTTGGGTGGATGTGGATGTGGGTGTGGGTGCCGTCGATTAATCCTTGTAACAATTACATTTTTAAATTGCAAGTCGCAGGGGCAATATAATGCTTCGATAAACTTTTGCCTGGCAAATCAGAGAAACTAACACGAGCCATAAATTAAGGAGGCGACAGTGTCGCCCGTTCAAACATTTGCAGCAGTGGCCCGGTTGATGTGAAACTTTTGCTGACCCAAAAGCCGGACGTGGCCCAAACCAGGACTCGTTCCAGGACCAGGACGAGGACCAGGACTTTCGCCCGACTGTCTGCCAGCCGGCCTGATACATGAAATGTAATAAATTTCGTTATCTATGCATTATTTATGTCGTAATTTGGTATTTTAGCCCCAAAACAGAAAAATGAAAAGCGTCGAGCCATGGCTGGCAGGACATCCAGCAGCTCCAGCCAGGACCGGCTACGAACAGCTACGACCAGCCAGGACATCCCTGGCATCGGGTCAACATTACACATTTTCACTGGGCGTGTGCGAGTGTGTGAAGACGCATAAATTACACTTGCAGCCTGCCGCACTTGTGATGTGTGCAAAATATATTTTAAATGAAATTTTTCGCCACGTCCAATGAAATTTGTCCAACTCACCCTGTGTCCTGTGGCTAAGCGCTGCTAAATTGGCCTGACCACCACTGCCCGCCGCCCACAGGAAAAAAACCACCCGCTTCAATCAACTCAATGCCCTAAATCTTAATATGCCAGCAACATCAAAAGGTGGTGCGGTAAAAAATAACATACAAATAGAGGAATAAATTAAAAAGTATTTGAACCAAAATTAAAATTTATTCGGTGTGCCATCAATCTGCATAAACTTTATCTGCAAATTTCGAAGGATTCAAAGTGTGTCCATCGATTTGGGGGCCAAAGGTGAGGTGAGCCACAATTAATTTGTTGTTTACACCAAAGAGTTCTCTATTTGCTTGTGGCCTTGGCCCAGTTGATGTCCATGGGAAAGTCCATCTCAAAGATGAGTGCACTCCACATGGGCTGACATTAAGAAAGCCAATTGATTTTGGCACTTTCTTGGCATTGTTTATTTTACTTATTGAGTGTCTTAGATATGCATTTGCCGCAAACACACACACACACACTCTCAGGCAGGAAAGTTGGGGCTGGGTTGAAGAGGCGGCATAAGCCATGAGTTGGCCAGAAGGAAAAGACCTAGCTGCAGGAACAGGGGCGAATCGAGGGGCGGAACAGCTCACTCTGCATGTGAAAGCGGTGTGAGGAAAATTGCATGAAAATTTTATTGGAATTTCTAGATGTTTTATATGGCAACGCTTTTACATGACTGCCTGCCACCGCCTGAGCCTGAGCTTCAGCATGTGCATGTGTCTACAGGCAGAGGTGTAGCCAGGACTTATAAAGGGGGTTTAATATTTTTAGAAAATAACTTATCTTACTACGACATTTTTCAAAACAATTTAATGCTAAAATAATTATAAAATTGTATTTATTTGAATGGTGGAAGTAATAAAAGTACAAACAAGTACAAATAATCGATTTATTTTTACATTTAAGCTCATGGTTGCTATATTTTATATTCTTATACTCTAAAATATTTATTTTAATTTTTTATAAATGATTTTCAAATCCATATTATAATTTCTTTCTTATGTCTCTTTAGTCTGTTTCTCCTTTGCAATTTAGAACCTACGACATGGATTTATTATTCCCTTTTTTGTTACCCAATACCGAAAATTTAAGACATTTTGTGTATCTGTAAAAAATGAGACTCTTAATCAGTTTTATAATGCAACCAATACAAGTATTACATGTAGCTCTAATTGGAGGTATCCTTAATTGGAACTTATTCTGACAGATGGTGGTTACAGCTAAGTAAGTTCACCCGTATATATTTCCAATCAGTTAACAAAAGTTGTTTGTGAACGGCAGGCCTAACCCACAGAAACCCCTCGTCAACCCACCCATGTCTTTTGCTGTGTCTGCCGTTGTCTTCGTTGCTTGGATGGGGGTGCTAGCAGCAGCTACTTGAATTTCGCCTCAGATGCACTTACGCAATGTTTTTCCAACATAAATTGCATTTTCTACTATTGTCAACGTGGCGTATGAATAACTTTTGCAAATAACAACAACACCAGGAGCGGCAGCAGCAGGCGAAGAAAGTCGGAGGGTGGAAAGTCGGTTATTGGAGCCACATCGGGCCCAAAGACATGCAATCGAAGTGCATAAACA